AAAAATGTCTTTAGGGTACTGGGTTGTTAATGTCCACTTGCATCTACAGGGCAAAAAGGGAAAATCACATCACTTGCATAGTGATATTATCACCATGGCACTATAATTATACTATTTATGTCATTTGCAGAGTGAATATCATTACACAGAGACCTTACATAATTGTGACTTGCCAGATCCCTGTGTTTAAGCTTGTTTTAGAGCTTTGAGTATCTTTTATAATCTTTACCTAGTCACTAAAATATTTCTCTATTTATTTTAATTGATAATATATAATTTTTTTGCAACAATTCTTTTGTTTTGAGTGCTAGGAATGCCTCTGGCAGGACATGTACAAGATTCTGTAAGTAACATTTCCAGGGATTCTTGTGGTGTCTCTTTCCTTACCTGGCCTACCTTGAAGGACTGTCATCAATCTTGAAAAGTTGCCACAATTTTGCTCTATTCTTTCTTATACTAAAAAAAATCAAGGTGGGTTTGTGGTGAATTCCTTTCGCATGTGTTCCACTTTCCAGAACTGAGTTCTCATTTTTCCTTCCCTTAACCATTCCTTAACCATGAATCCATTTCTTCATCAGGGTTATTTTACTCCACATCCCTTTTTACTCCAACTTAATTTTTATCACCCACCCTCCTTGTAGATTCCCCAGCCCCATGTGCAGGGCTTATAAATGGCTTGGAATTAAACTGGTGTCTTCAACTTTCACACACTCCAAATTCCACACTGGAATTGCCTGTGCTGACTGGAGAGTTCTGGGAAATACAGTTTTAATGTGATTCAGAAATAAATTTGATTTCCTTCAAATCCTAAAACATTTCAGAATAGTGCTATTGTGCACAGCATTGCATTAGTACCCTTGAATTAGAAAAAATGTTAACCCCCAGAATATTTTACAGCCATATAGTTTTACCACAAAAACAATTTAACAGTGGAATTTGTTGCTTATGTAAAACCTTTTGATTCTAATACAATCAAAACTGAAGAAAATTGCATCTGCTTTATATTCTGATGTTTATTGATACCCGCCAATGAGGCAGAACAAATAGAAATTAAAATTGTTATTTGTTCTAGAAATGAAATCAAATTTCTTACTTACCAAATACTTTGGATTCCTTTTCTTAAGTATGAGTCATTATGAGCTATTTTGAATAGATGGGTCCTCTAAAGCCTGTAAGAGGTGACTGCCTTATCTTAGCACAAAAACATGCCAGGAGACACGTTACTCAGAAGCAGTGTTGTTGATCATGCTGCTGTCACTCATTCCACAACCAACTTCCTAGAAGTGGATTTGAATTTTTTTTTTGAAAATTTAATCTGATGCAAGTTACAGCTTGGAAAGAAATATACATGTTTTTTGTGGTACAGTTTAGATGATTTTGAAATCAATGAAGTTTATTTCCAGAGTATATATTTGTCATGAATCAACATTATAGACTTTTATTATCAATGTTATTATTCTCATATTAATAATTACCTTGGCCTAAATCCAAAGATTATCTTCTTCTGACTGAGGGAGAAAATAGGTTTTTATATTTATACAAGGCTTTGTACAAGTTCATAAATCTGTATGCCCTCAAGGAGCTTGAACATTTGGTGACTTCCTGGTTGTGTGCATGCAGATCAGGGGTGTCAAACTCACGTGATCACGGCAGCATAACATGACATATCAGGACTTATTCCCCCTTCACTAAACTTGGCGTGGGCATGGCCAGCTCGTGATGCTTCCATCCCGCGGGCCGGGAATTTGACAGCCCTGATATAGGTGACTTTCTAGTTGTGTGCTTGTAATGTTAGTTTCCAATTAACTCAACAAAGCTTACTTTTGAATTGAAATGTATAGAATTTGTTAAAATGTATATGCTACAAGACATAACTTCTTTATTCCCCCGATTTTGGTACTTTAATCTTCTTTGCATTAATTAATACAATGGAAAATCTAGTGTAAAAATTAATAATCTTATTACAACATAAAGTTTAGCCAACTTTATTAATCTGAAAGAGGAGATTTGGTTGAACAATAAATTATATCCAATAAATATGTGCTGTTGTTAAGGTTATGAAATAGTGCTCTAATGTCTTTTTTCTGCAACAGATTACTAATAGAATCTAATTTTTAATGTTGAACTTGGAAAGAGAACAGTAAACAATACACTGAAAATGAGAAATAAGTATAACTCACTTACTTTTCCAGGTTGAAATGCAAGTCACATTTATTAAATTCATGTTAGACAATTTTTAAAGGGAATTCAACCCTGATATTTTTGGTTATGGAGTTTGCCTAAACCCAAGTATTTAAAGTTCAGAAAAGAGTTGTTGATCTAAAAAATTTGCAGATTCTAAAAAGCACTTAGAGAGATGTCTTGATGCTACCAATCATTATGCATTCCACAAGATAAACACACTAGTTAATTTGGAATGATCTTAATCAGTTGGGAGCAAAATTCAAAATAAGAAGCAAAGATTCTCTAGTACACTGAGGAAATTCACAATCAGTCCCTCAGGCCTCTCACTGTTAAAAAAGCTCACTGCTAAATACTATAACATGCAGTTCTACTACTAGCATGCAGTACTGTGAAATTTCCAACTCACCTTCTAGAACAGAAAATTCATTGATGTTCTTGGATATCAACAGTGCCATTTCTTTAAGACCATCAAAGTTGACAAATGAAGCCACCAACCATTTCCTAGATATATGCAAGGCCAGGCAAGAGTTTCTTCTAGGTCCTTTATTATTGTTACTTTGTTTCAATTGTATAATGTTTATTCATATTTATATATTTTGTCTGCTACTCTTGTAATAGAAAAATGTGATTAAAAAGGTATGAAACAAACAAATTTCAATTCTTTAATACTACACGTTTAATGAGACAGAGGGGCTGGTTACTTTTCTAAATGAGCCAATACATTAACTCAAGAGGTTTATGACTTGTATAGTGATGCTTCAGTCATGAGGTAATGAGGTAGGGTTCTGAAGGCAAAAATGACAATTACAGGTTATGCTTGATTAATACATCCGAGGCTGGGATCATGCCAGTGATGACTTTCAGAATTGGTGGAATTGGTTTGTACAAAGGAATTAATGACTAGATGATGATGATAATCTTTCATAGCATAGGCCATCCTGAGAATTAGAATAAAAGACATTTTTATCCACAACCACCAATACATCTTGTATATGATTTCATTAACTTGTAGATTTGATTAAATATATGTGCATCTGTATCATCAACACCAAAAACAGACCTTAAAATCATTTGTTTTGTTTTTGTTATTAGGTTTTTAATTCAGTATTGTAAATTTAATCTTTTAACAAATTTAATCTTTGAGCTAACCCCTAAATCACAAAAACGAAGGAAGGAAATGGAGCCAATCATCAACAGGGTAGGAAGGTCACCTTACCAGGTGTTAGATTAATTTTTGCTAGTAACATTTGCTGTAGCATTCAATTTATTCATTTATAGTGCCTTTGATTAATTAATTATCACATTTATATTGCCACCCATCTCACACAATGCAACAGTTTTCATGTGTTTTTAGTTTTAAAGGACTTAAAAATTGGAAGTGTCCCAAGATGACTTTCAAGGAATAAATATTACTCTGAAGTGATGGGAATAACTGTGAGTTTAATTTAATATAAAGTCCTGCCAGCATGATCAACTGAGATTAAAAAATATAAAATGCTTCAACATATATTTAAAATTAATGATCTAATGCACATTTGCCCCATATAACCACTTAATATGGTAGGACTTTATTTGATGTATAAAAAAACATACTTATTGACTGTATGCATCCTTACTCCATCATTTTATGCTCAGAGGTTATGCTCACCATTTCAAGGAATGGGAAAAGGACTTGAGAATATTATACGCACATAGAATGGAATAAACTCAGATAAGTCGCAAGGTTTTTGTATATCAGGAGATATTACAATCATATAAAATGGGTGGATTTGGGAATGACTTTAGCTCTCTGTCCATGTAGTAATTGGCATCTAAACTGCTTGTATTTTTCTATGTTGTAAATAGAAAATTGGAACTGAATTTATCCTGTGTGGTAGCTATATACGAACCTATTTTTGCCTTGAGTGAATGATTGCAAAAATTTTAAACATGGACAAATTGTATTGATTTTTCTTCTTTGTAATTAAAGAATGCCTCTTGCTATACCGTTTTTAATGCTTATGATTTCAAGCATGATAACTTTAGATAAGAGAGTGTCACTATTTTACTTGAAATTATTCATCAGTTATGGATAATGTCTCATTCATTAAAGAGGACAGTTTTCAAAAACTACATATTTCAAATGCTTTCCTTATGGATATTTTACAACATATATATCTACATATTTATTTAACATTTCTGGGATATCCTTGGCCAATGCAACACTGGCTAATGAAAACATTTATACAAAAAAGTGCACAAAATATGAATTTTGAACCCATGGAAATGAAATGTGCATTAGTTAGAAAAGGGCAACGATGGTTCTGGATCTCCTTCTCTCTTGTCATTTAGTCCTTTTAAATTAACGTCAAGTCAAAAGAATGGCAATCCAACTGAACCTTATCAGGAATATATATTTGAGTCCATTGAGTCGTGCTGAAGAAAAAGGTGCAACAATAAACAAGTCCCTGTGCATTTGCAGTCATAGTTATGGGCAGAAAAGCCCTTGACACTTGTTGCTTTGGTATTAAATAGCAATTATAAAAGCTTTTAGAAATAAAGCAATACATGATGAGGAAGGGGATGGAAATCCTATAAGGCTTGGATTTCTTGTCCATTGAAATCAGTCTTATTCTTAGTCATAAATAAATAATCTCTTCCCTGGTTTCACTTCCATGCCAGGATCAATATCTCTTAACATCTTACTTATTTTATTACTGCTCTTGGTTTTCTGGGACTGATTGAAAGTTGCTCAGAGGAAATCTTTGGTTTTGCTTAAGTGTCCATGACATTTAATCATGACTTTCCTTGCAGTTTAATTCCAACCAGTCAATCAGTTAATCCACTTCAATTGATTCTGTGCTCTCTGTTATTGGCTTGCACTCATTGGGCATCCTCTGGTGTCGACTCAGCTGGGTGGCTTGGGTGAAGCTCCTCTCACACCTTTCGCACCTGGAAAAGGCAAGAGAGAAAATTGAGAGTGGGAAGATGCTCCTGGGGGGCATGGGGCTTCGTCTTATCATGCCTAATCAGAACAGACACTCAAAAGTGGCTTCAGATTTTACTGGCTCAAGAGGTTTAATTGGTGGCTACTTCCAAGGCCTTGATGCCTATGATGGGACAAGGCCTGTCTGATTCAGAACAAGGGAATCTGTCAATAGACAGGGGAAGGTGATTTCTCTAGAGAGGCCTGTCCTACTGTAGCTCTGATCACTGTCAGTTCAAATAGATAAAGAACAAAAAGAGATTTTTAGGAGTGAGCCATCAAAGAAGCAGCTTGTCTGCAGTTTTCTGTTCTGTAATCCCTCAGAGAAATTGATGACAAATAGAATTTCACCTCCTGCTAATTTAAAACCAAGAATCTTACCTATTGGAACAATCATGAAACTGGGAAACAATAATCACTTTCTGTATTTCTCTGAAATTACTGTTTAGCCAGCATGATACAAAGGAGTGTTATCATGATTAAAAAGAGACTTTTACAAATATTATTATAGAATCAGCATATTGCTAAAATGACCATTGCAAACTCCTTATAGATTTAAATGATGTGCCAAAATAATGAATATATTTAAGATGCAGGCTTTCTGTGTGAACATCCAAGAGATGTGCATAAGTCAGACAGAAACAACTTCATCTCTTTTAGATAAGAATTGATTTTCCAGACTTTGGCCCTTCAATAATTTGACTTAATATTCAGCATTCAAGTGTTTAACACTTGAGATCTATGAGATGTAAATATTCTTTTCAATAACTTCCATTTAAGCAAGTATCCTTCTATCTACTGCTCTCTCAATAATTCAATTATTGAGTGCAATATTTATGCAATATCAGGGGTTTTCAATTCAACTGTATAGAATGTAAAGATGTGCGATTGTGTTTTATTTTTATAGTTACAATATACACTGACGATGACATTTAATTTTGTTGTATGAGGTATAATGACAATAAAGTAAAATGAACTAATCCTTACAATTTTACTCTCAGGTTTACAGCCAAGAAAAAAAACCTAGCAAGAAATCTGTTCCAGATCACTTAGTCCAATTAGATACTCTCCAAATATGTTGAACTACGTGCTGGCTGTGAAATTAAGCATAAGATTTAAGCCAATAAAACTGTCCTGGGTAGACTGTATTGGAATGAATAGAGTCTGCATAAGAACTTCTTGAGCACATAAATTTCAACTGAGTTGACAAAGGAGATACTTGTGAACTATGAACTATAGTTTTAACATAATGTTGATGGAATCATACATAATAATTAACAGTGATTTAAGAAACCTGATCATAATCTAAGATATCCTTATGTAAAAAATATCCAAATGAAATATAAGGAGTCACTGTTCAGGTGCATCTTTCTATTGTAAACATTATATAAATAATGAATTGGTTCATTATGGATAAATCAAGAGTCATTTATAAATATATATAATTTCAGAATGAGATAAAGTATGTGTCATTAAAAAAAAAAGAAAATTATGGCTTGAGAAACCTATGGCCTAAAGGTTACAAATTCATTCATCTTATTTCTACTTCTAGTCTAACATGTCAAGACCTTTAAGTTATGTTTCTTTGATTGTTTCTCTTAGAATATTTTAGCAGCCTGTTCTACTGTTAAAAACTGCACTGTGATCTTGACAAATGTAAAATGTCAACTCTAATGTATCAGACCTATCAGCTCAATGAAAATAACTCAGAAGTATTGATCACCTAATGATTTCTGGTGTATTCATTAATGTCTATGTGCAGATCTTCCTCTCTCCAGAGTTCCTGAAATGCTGATGACACATTAGTGTGTTGCTGATTGTTTATTAGAAAACTGATTAGTTACTGGATTAGTGTGTCAAAATGTACTACCTTTCATTACTTGATAAACTTGCAAATTATGAATTTGTTTTTCACTATGAACACTTTGAAATCAATTCATTTTAGGCTTAGTTTCTATAGCACAATGCAGTGATCTCTACTTAGATTTGATTTTTCTCCCTCTTTTCTATACCAATAAAGCTACAAATATGACATATATTTCATGTGTATGTGTCTGTTTGTCTCTCTATCTCATATATCTATCCTCCAAGTCAGTGTTGACTTCTAGTTATTGCCTGGACAAATCCCGTAGCTTTTTTAACAAGATTTTTCAATCATAGTTTGCCATTGCCTTGTTCTAAGGGCAGAGAGAGGTGCTTGTTTAAGGTTATCCAACTGGTTTCATTAGGTTTTCATACCTTAACAACTACACCAAACTGGTTCTCACCTTCTCACTACTGAATTAATAACAAGCATATTATAAATCAGGGGTGTCAAACTCACAGCCCATGGGCCGGATGCATGTCATGCCCATACCTGGTTTAACAAAGGGGGAAAATGTTATGACACCATGAAACAAATTTGACACCCCTGTTATAAATCAAAGGCACAAGTAAAGCTGAAAACTTATGAAAAGAACAAGAAGTTATCCTGGAACATAAAGTGAAACTTGCTCCAACATTAATGTTACAATACCAAACCTATTTCAAGTAATTTCCACGTGGCATTCATAAAATATCCAAATTTAAAAGCATAACTATCATTAGTCTAAGTCCAAAATAAGTATTTATTGAAACAAGATAAATTAAGGAGATCTAGGATTATTCATGTTGTAATAAATAAATAAATAAATAAATCTTCCATACAGCTAATATTCATAGTGACCATTCTATATACCTGTAGTATAGCCAACAGTTGAATCATTTTTCTTCTGTCCAAATGTATGTTTTTATTTATATGTTTTATGGTAGAATATAAAATGTATATTTATACTTAGATATGTAAACACATATACTGGAAATACAGAACTTGTGAGATGGCACAGTAATACACTATTGCACTAAATTATTTCAATGCATTACTTTGTAAATTATAAACTCTTACATATGCTATTCCGTAAATTTTAATGCAATATATCTGTTGAGTAAAGATGCTGGTCTTACACAAAACACTATTATCATTTCAATATCCATTAAAATGGATTTTGCAATTGCTTTTTCATTAGATAAACGTCTTAATGTTTACTGAAATACATATATCAAATATTGGCAAATTCTTTACATAAAAATTGTGCATTCAAATACAGTCATAGAACTTATAAAATTAATGCGACTCACATGTATCTAATGGAATAGGTTCCTAAGCAATTTATTTCAGGGATGGGACTAAACTGAAACCACTTTATATTAATTCAAGTATTCTAGAAAATAAAAAGGGAAAGAAAATATAAAGGAAAAAATGTAGCATTGGCTCTTAGTGGTACAAATAGTAGATTTATTGGAAATATGACAAAAACAGAATGTTATGGGGGTGGAAATTAAATGGAGTCAACAAGGTTACATATAAGTAACATCTTAACATTAAAAGAAATCTATTTTCCATTTTGACCCGGAAGCCTGTACAATTAATTACTAAAATCTATTTACACAGCAACTACATAAAATCAATCTCAACTGCTAGTTTTTGGCTTCCTTTTCCATTGGCTGAATTAATCCAATGTAATGGTTCAGTAGCCGCCATTTGTTGACACGGCATTCTTGTGTCATTCTAGACTGAAGCTGAACACTGATTGAGTTGGATTTTGGAAAACATGGCCTTCGCCTCTTCTCTTCGTACTCTGGGCATCCCAATGAGATTGCCAATCATGATCTTTATGAAGCTTAAGTAAGTTGGTATTGAAATGGTTACATTTTTATGTGGTTTACAAACAAGAGCAACCTTATAAAGCGACAAAATATAATATCAGTGAACACATGGTTTTAGCATTATTTGGGCCTCAAAAAAGAAACTAATGAAATATTGTTAGTATTTCACCTGAATATCAACTTTTAATGGCTGTCAACAATTAAACTATTCCACAAACAGAATTTAAATCTGTATCCCCAGTTTAGGTATCTTTATGTGATATGGATTTTCAAATGATACTTTATCAATATAAAGATATTTTAGTGGTTACTGCCCTCTGAAATTAGTGTGTATGTCTGCGTGCACAGCTTTGAGTAAGGTACTTTGTTTATTTCTGGAAACTACCCTTGGCAAGGCTTTTCAGTTGTTTGCCATATTCTCCTTCATAGAGCTATGAGAAGATTACTTGTCAAAGTCCACTTCTGTGCCTAATGCAGAACTAGAACTCCTGGTATCCTAGTCTCTAGCTTGATGCTTTACTACAACAACTGGCTATCCTACAATTAGTAGCAGAATCAATTGCAAGCTTATTGATAATTTTAAAAATATGTTCTTTCAAACTTACTTGAACTATTTAAAACATAAACAATCAATAACAAACCTTGTTTTCCTATGCACCCCAAACTTAAGATGTTTGTCTCAACCACATCTTGCAAAGCAACCAATTTCAGAATGTAATTCAATTCAGCTATAGTAATGATAAAGTAGAGGAGGACTGACTCTCTCTAACCCCTTTCTGCTGCTTTTAATTTTTTCATATTGATAGATTCTATGTCTTGACTATTTTTGTGAAATAACATACTAAAAGTTCATGCAGGAAACACCTAAACCAAAATTGATTGGTCTGTGAATATTGTTGAATTACTACTCTTATGAGTCCTGGTGAACATCACTGTAGGCCAAAACTAGCATAATTTGTAGTTCAGGGTCCACATGGTTTCCACTCCCAAATTACACTATAAAATATTACTTGTACTTAAAATTGCTACATATTACAACAATATTAAATGATATAATCATACAGTTGTATAGTTTTTTCCTATTTAAAATACTTCTGTCTTAAAAGTATCACTGTTGCCTTGATGCTCACTGATTGTTCCCTACTTGATATTCTTCAATATACCATGCATGGCATATGTCTGAAAAACTCAACTCTATTATTTATTTTGTCATTCTTAGATACTATTATTGGAGAGATTGTTGCTGAAAATTAAAAAAACCCAACCATCATTTTCTGGTGAAATTACAAGATTATATAACTGAGATATAGAGAGACAAAGGTAAAATAAAGATAGAGGTAGAAATGAAAGTATATAGATATATGAATATTACTATAATCCTTAAGGACTCAACTACCAAGTTGACTCCTGCTCACATATTTTAGTCCTAAATAAATGCCACTGCAATCAAGAAGGAACACAGCCAGGTTCACACATCTTTTTGGTATTTGGAACTGAATTCAAAAAGGACATCTCTGAAAAAGGTGAAATCTAAATCTGAATTATCCTAGTGTTCCCTTTCTGCTCAACTGAGTCTTTGATTACTTACTTAAATGGTTTCTCCCCTGTATGTGTCCGGATATGATTGTTGAGTGTAGTAGCACCAGCAAAGGCACGACCGCAATAGCCACACTTGAAAGGTCTGTCACTGGAGTGAGTGACTACGTGATTCCGAAGCTCTGAAGGTTGGGAGAAGGATTGGGAGCAGTGTCCACACTGATAGGGCCTGCAGAAAATAAGAAACACCCAATGTGATCACTACTTGTTTTGTTTTTAAACTGCAGCACATGGAAAATCATTTGGGTGGTGCCGCCAAGCTTTGATTGCTTATTTCAAAAGGGAATTTAATAGTGAACTTTCTTCAAATTTGAAATGTTCTCCTTCTCATCTTCCCTACTGATGTCCTCTACATGTGATAAATATCATATCCTATGAGCCCTAACAGGCATTGCTATGCTTGCTAAATATTGCAAAGTCCAATACATTTGGGGGACATCAAATTAGGGATGTGTTGTCTCTACAGTCTTTTTGTTTTAAATAGTAGGGAACCTCAGTTTCACATAAGGTCCGCATGAAAAAATATTTTCCCTCCATTCCTCACAACAAAATATCGAGTGTATTACCAGCTACAAACAATAGCATCTTTGATTCTTCTGAGAATGGTAATATAGTTGTTACATATACTCAAAGAATCCAACAAGATTGTGCCAATCATTTTTCTGTTTGAAATCTCTAAGGTAAGTCATGTTTAATAAATTAGGGACTTGGAGGATGGTCGGGGCCTGGAATTAATTATTTCGTTGGAAAGTTTGTACTGCTGAATATAATGACCCTTCTACACTAAGCATTATCAATGCCTATGGAATCTAAATGCAGGCTTTACGCATTAAGTGTAGAAGACTCTAATTCTAAGAATGTATTGGTGATCTTTCTGGATAGAGAAACATCTCAACAATATGAAGGTTAAAGCACGTGTAGGTTTGTTTTGTGTGTGATTATGCTAGTTGAAGGGCAGGGAGATATATGAAAGCATCATATTTACTTAAAATGCAATTAATATCCACAAAAGCAATGCAATTAAAATACAAATATTTTAATTATGTCTTCTGCAGACTGTAGTCTTAAAGGCAGAAATTCAGTTCAAGATAATAATTAATATTTATGGAGACCTCCATGAATTGAAACCAACATTCTTTATGTGTTCCTGTCATCTGTAATTATGTGACTATCAAAAATTTTGCTTGGCAGCAAGAGAAAAACATGACACCTTGGTTCTAGAAATCCCTTCCCCAGGAAGTTCAATGGGACCATTCTTTCAGAGTTTGCTATTAGAATGAAAGCAGTTTAGTGGTGCTAAGAAGTTTTCCCCAATCTAGGCTCTTTTAAAATCTCTTTGTTTTAAAAGAACGTCAGGTTCAGAAAGAAAAAATATATATCATGAAAATAGTTCCAATTATGACAAACACCCATACCAAATTTTAGACTCTTAGATTGAAGGTATTTTGTGCAAATGCAAAAGTGCGTTAATGAGAAAACACTGCTCTTTCCAGAATGGGATTGCAGCTGAAGCCGTAGTTGAAGGATGAGAATAGTCTAAAATGTACTGATATTTTCCTCAAAAGAAAATAAGCATCAAGCCAATCATCTAGTTAAAACAGTTCACTTTGTTGTACAACTGTCATGGATGAAATACTAACAATTAATAAAATGGATAGAAAAAATTACAGCTCTCTGTACTCAAATCTCTTAACTGATTCCCAAAATATTCAGGTTAAGAAAATCAAGAATGATATGACCATATAAGTCACTATTATTGGGAGTTCTAATCCTCTTTCTTTTCCTTCCTAGCATGATAGTTCGTCCAATACAGTTATGGGTTCCTTAATGACATAGCTCCATCAGTATGAGTGAAGTTTTAAGGTTATAAAATGGTTTATACTGACCTACTGCACCAAATTATCCCATATATCTGAGAGTTTGGTCTTTATCTGAGTGTGATGCACAGCTCTGGTTAACAATTGTAAAGAACTTAAAGCAAGGTGTTTAAAGAAAATTAAATACTTTGGACACAGTTGGGAGCCCATAATATACAATATATAAAATTGTGATGTGCCCTTCCTAGAGCAGATTTAGGATGTCCTAACTCAGAGTTATACTTTATCCTGGTGCTACAGTATAGAAAAGAATTTGTTCTGCAACAGCATTCAGGTAGTTCTTGATATCCTCACTATCAGCTCCTCACTATCATCTGCTGCCATCCCCAGTTTTCCACCATTATGCTAGAGTTAAATGCTAGAGTTCCTTGAAAACCCCACGACTTATTTCTTACCTATCTTAAATATCAGAACATGTCACTGAAATATGTATATATTCTATTTATATGGATAATACTGTAGAAATCTAGACCATATTAAACATCCAATATCATTCAGATCTTTCATGAGACAATATGAATTATAAGAAAGGTTATTGGAGAAGATGACACATGACAGCACCTTTCAAATATCTGAAGGACTATCATATAAAACTATTACCCTAGACCTGAAGTCAGATAGAAATAATTTAATTACAGGTTGGTTTTCCACTGAACGTTACTATTTTTTTTCAGTACTAAGAACTACACAGCAAAAGAATTAAACTTTTAGAAAGAGATAAGCTCTTTCCTGCTGCAGGTGATCAAGAGAAATTGGGCCTGATCTAGCAGTATGAGGTGTGGGATTGGTTTAGAAGGCCATTTAAGAGGGATTATAGAAATTCTGCACACCTCTTCAATGCAAACGATCTGTTTCTCCTCCAAGAAGGCTCAGATAGCTAAATTGCTATTTCAAAGCTAGAAATATTACTCTATAACTGCTGAAAAACATGGGCTGTGTCTTCCTGTACACATCTTGGAAGTCCTACTTCATAGTTACATTTTTAAATGTTGCTTTCCAAAATTAGACAAAAGAATTGGTTTTGCCTTTAACTAGACAACTCCAAATTGTAGCTTCTTTTTCCTGAAAATGCTTTATGTTGTCAATGGAAACTTCAAAGCTTTAAGCGTATTTACTCAATTGGCTGTTTTATTTATTTATATTTAGCTCTACCAACCTCTTTTATTTTTCAAAAAATAAGGATATATCTTTAGGTGCCTCAATAATTTTAATCCTTTGGAACAAGCAGCTTAAGTTACAAATCGTAAAACCTGTAATGTTAATGAATACTGATGTCTTGTCAGCGTTTTGTTCTGAAAATGTATATATTTCTGAAGAGCTAAAACAAAAGAGTAAAGGAAAGAGACAATGGTGACCAGGCATAGAGAACAATTCAATTAAGTATACAATAAAACGTTATCCCTCATTTGTCAGCTGGACTGCTTAATTGTGACTACTTGCATCACTGATCACCAATACTATTATTTTACAGTGCTTCAGAGCACTGATCACAGAATTTTTCTGCTTGATTAATGACCTAGCTTTGGTCAATAGTTCAATACAATATAATTTTAATTACATTATAAAATCTGTGATGAATATTCCACAGCAAGTTTCAAATGTAAAATTCTATAGCTGTAAGATACAGTTGAATTGAGATTATTTAGGGATTTAAATTTTCCTTACATTAATAACAATCAGATTTCCAAACATTATTTGATCATTTATTATGTAAATGCTTATAGAAAGAAGAAAAAGGATTATTTTCTTCTCTGCTGAACTACCATAACGAACTTTCAGTAAAACCTGTAATGCTATTAATAAAAGGATTTATGTATACATACATTAGATAGAGATAGACAGGCAGGCAGGCAGGCAGGCAGATGATAAAAAGACAAACAGACAGATTAATGCCAGTAAATGAAAAAGAATCATCATGCAGAAGCCAGTACTATATACTGGGAAAGATGATGCAGTCTCCTCCAAGCTCATACTGTATCTTTATTGTACTAAATTTTGGTATTAAATTTGGTTTATTATTGGATTATTTTCATGCCGATGAAAGATAGATGATCGATAGATAGATAGATAGATAGATAGATAGATAGATAGATAGATAGATAGATAGATAGACAGATGATAGATGATAGATAGATGATTGATAGATAGATGATATACATAGATACAAATACTGAACAGACAGATGATAGGGGGCGTGCATAAGCGCACCAACGTGCCTACCATCCCTGCCCTATTGTTTCTTTTATTTTATTTTTCTTATACGTATCCATGTATTCATAGCTATGTTTTTACTTATACCTATTATCTTGTAAGCAACTGACAAACCAAATAAATAAATAGATAGATAGATAAACATACAGACAGATACAGACAGACAGATTGATAGATAATATAGACAGACAGACAGATGATAGCTAGATGATTGATAGATATACATAGATACACATAGATAGACAGACAGACAGACAGAGACAGAGACAGAGAAGGGAGAGGATACAGATAGATACTGTATGATTTCTCAATTCCTTTTTCTAGTATCTATTTACAGGACATTATTGCCCTTTGAATGGAAGACTTGGTCCGAGGGCACTTTATTAGGATATACTATCTCTGAGATCTGGAAATCCTAACTTTTGCTTGTCACTGGGATAGAAGAAAGTTCATTAAAAATACATAATAGCTTTTAGTACACTCATTTATTTTGTTCTTCCTTTTATATAATTAATAAATGGAACCTTTATATGTGCTTTTTTCATTTCCCCCCTTGTCCTGACATTCAGTCTTCATGTAGAAAATTTTCAATGTATATAACATTTTTGGATGTTGAAGTTTTGGAGGTAGCTGCCTTTCATTCAAAGCTTAATGTACATTGATTTCAGACGTTCAAAAATCATATATTTTACATTGCATTAATACTTCATATTAAACTTGTTATATTCTAATGCTTACTCTTAGGAGCAATTTCAGTTTTTGTTCAAAGGAACTATTCATTTTTATAATAGAAAGTGCAGCTGATAAGTCAAACATATAAAAAATCTACTAAGGATTAAATATTTCACTATAGTGTATTCTTTTTTCTTGGAGCACTTACTAATAATAATGTGCTGTGATAAGATATTTTTAGAATTAGATTCTTTTAGTAAAAAGATAAACCAAGATGTGCTGTAATAATCATGAATTGATTTTCTGAGAATGAGTGGAATCATTAACATTTATTAGCCCCTGGTTATCTATTTTTTAACTGTAAAATAAACAAATAAGTCACTAAACAAAATCAATTAATCCCTTATTT